CTGGCGCTGCGCCCGCGGGGGCGGGCTGAAAGCGCGCGGCGGGGACCTGGAACGCGCCTGGGCCCGCATTCACGCGGAGTGCGGGTACCGCGTGGAACGCCAGACCCACGTCCCGGCCTGGGACCGCTGGCGCTGGACCTGCCCAGGCTGCGGCGCGAGCTGGGCGACGCCTGACCGGCCGGCAGGCCCCTGCGCCACCTGCGGAGCCGGGCTGCGGGCGGAGCGAGAGGAAGCCATCCTCGACATCGAGGTGCAGCGGGCGGACCGCCCCCGTTTGTACTTCGACGTGGCAGTCCGCTACTGCGTTCCTGGGGGCGCCGACGGCCTGGCAGCGGCGGCAGGGCGTAATGGCGCCGTCAACGCAGCGGCAGAGGCCGACAAACGCCGCCGCTACCCCTCGGGGCGGACCCCGTGGGGCATGGTGCCCCTGGCGCTGGAGACAGGGGGGCGCCACGGGCCGGCAGCCCTGCGGCACCTGCGCGAGCTCGCCCGAGGGGAGGCGGCCCTCCTGGGCGACGACGCGGCCGCCCCGGCAGCCGCCAGCGCCCTGATGGCCCGGTGGGGCCGCGAGCTCAGCGTGGCCCTCCACCGGGCCACCGCCCGCCAGCTCAGGACGGCGCTGGGCGCGGACCGCGCGGGCGCCGGCCGGGCGGCCGAGCTGCGGGCGGCGGCGGAGGGCTGAGCCGGCGCCGGGGCTGGTGTTCGCCGTCTCCTACTGGGTCGCCCCGGTCGCGTACTTCATCGTCGCGTGCCCGGAGGAGTTCAGAGTGCGCGGGCGTGCTTCGACTGTCTCTCATGCCTGCAGGAGGAGGAGGAGGAGGAGGAGGAGGAGGAGGAGGAGGAGGAGAAGGATGGAGGATGAGGGGAGGACGATGAAGGACGAAGAGGAGGAGGAGGATGATCCTCCTCTTCCTCCTCCTCCACCTCTTCCTCCTCCTCCTCCTCCTCCTCCTCCTCCACTTCCCCCTCCTCTTCCTCCTCCTTCCTGCTCCTCCTCCTCCTCCTAGCTTCCTGTGCGCAGCCGCAGCGCCGCGGCGTAGCCTCCCAGGGCCACGGCTCCCCCCCTGCGTCGGGCACGCTTGGCGCCGCCGAGGCGCCCGCAACAGCCGGCCCCTCGAGGAAGCCTTTCGCCGCCACCGCCGCCGCCGCCGCCGCCCGGAGCGCGCCGGCCTCCGTGTTAACACGCTGCGGGCTGCGTGGTGCGCATCGGAGCAGCGAAGCTCCTGCGGGCTGGTTCGCACGCGCAGGAGGACCAGCCTCAAGCGTGCCCCTGTCCCTGAGACTGGCTCGGCGACGACATCGACGAGACTCCCTCGGCTTGCGGACGGGGGCATCCCGACGATTGGCCACCGCCTCGGGCTGGTCGCTTCTGGAGGCCTCGGGTCGCCGCCGCTGTCGCCGTCGTTGTCGTCTTCGTCGCCGTCGCCTTCGTCTTCGTCGCCCTCGCCGTCGTCGTCGTCGTCGCCGTTGCTTCTCGTCGGCGTCGCCCTCGTCGTCTCCTGTCGTCGCCGTCGTCCTGTCGCCCTCCCGGCTGCTCCCCCCCCGGGGCGTCTCCTCCCGCCGCCCTCCTCCCTCTCCCCGTTTCCCTCGCCTGGCTGGTGGTGGTGGAGCTGTGGCGGGGTGGTGGAGGACGACGAGGTTCCCTGTTTCGTTGCCGCCAGTTGGCAGCACGCGCGCTCGCGCTCGCGCACTGGCGCTCCGCCATTTGGTGGCGTGGCAGGCGCGGCTCCCAGGGGGCCCCTACAACTGTCTCGCATGTAGCGACACCTGGCCCCCCTGGGAGCGGGCGCGCGCGCCGGGCACTTGCCCCACTGCCAGCGCCCTACTCGGGACTGCTCATGCCTGCCCTTTGCCCGGGGCTTCGGCACCAACGCGCCCAACTTGGGCGCGCCTCAACCAGAACCAGAACCAGGAGGAGGAGGAGGAGGAGGCGGAGGAGGAGGAGGAGGAGGCGGGGGAGGCGGGGGAGGCGGGGGAGGCGGAGGAAGCGGAGGATGATGATGATGAAAGACGATGATGATGTTGCTGATGATGATGTTGCTGATGATGATGCTGGTGTGGATGATGATGATGATGATGATGATGATGATGATGATGATGATGATGATGACGATGACGATGGCGACGATGATGATGCTGCTGATCGTGATGCTGATGCTGATGCTGATCATGATGCTATTGATGATGGTGCTGATAATGATGATGATGCTGATGCTCCTGCTGCTGATGATGATGATGGTGATGTTGCTGATGATGATGATGATGATGTTGCTGATGCTGCTGATGGTGCTGCTGCTGATGATGCTGCTGCTGATGATAATGATGATGCTGATGATGATGATGTTGATGCTGATGCTGCTGATGATGATGATGCTGATGATGTTGGTGTTGATGACGATGACGATGATGATGATGGTGATGATGATGATGCTGATGATGCTGTCGATGGTGATCATCATGATGATGAGGAGGAGAATGAGGAGAAGGAGGAATATGATGCTGATGATGATGATGTTACTGATGAGGCTGCTTCGGATGATGATGATGCCGATGATGATGATGATGCTGATGCCGATGATGCTGATGCTGATGCTGCTGCTGATGATGATGATGCGGATGGTGATGATGCTCATGCTGATGAGGATGATGCTGATGATGATGATGATGGTGATGGTGATGATGATGATGCTGATGATGCTGACGATGATGATGATGATGCTGATGAGGATGAAGAGGAGGAGGAGAAGGAGGAGGAAGAGGAGGATGAGCAGGAGGAGGAGCAGGAGAAAGGGGATGACGATGATGATGATGATGATCATGATGATGATGATGATGTTGACGACGACGATGATGATGATGATGATGATGATGATCATGATGCTTCTGATCATAATCCTGATGATGATGCTGGTGACTCTGCTGATGATGATGATGACGACGATGATGATGATGGTGTGGATGATCATGGTGATGATTATGCTATGATGTTGATTCTGATGATGATGATGATCATGATGATGACGACGATGACGATGATGATGATGATGACGCTGATGATTATGGTGATGATGCTGATGACGATGATGATGATGATGGTGGTGATGATTATGGTTATGATGATGATGATTATGCTGATGATGATGGTTGTCGTGATGATGATGATGAGGCTTATGGTGATGCTGATGATGATGCGGATGATGCTGTTGATGATGCTGATGATGATGATACTGATGGTGATGCTGATGATGATGCTGACGATGCTGATGATGATGATGACGATGCTGCTAATGCTGATGCTGATGCTGATCCTGATGATGATGACGATGACGATGACGACGATGATGATGATCATAATAATGATGCTGCTGCTGATGATGTTGATGATGATGCTGATGATTCTGATGGTGATGACGATGATGGTACTGATACTGATGAAGCTGCTGATGATGATGATGCTGATGATGATGGTGACGATGGTGATGATGCTGATGCCGATGATGCTGATGCTGATGCTGCTGCTGCTGATGATGATGATGGTGATGCTGCTGCTGCTGATGATGATGATGATGATGCCGATGATTATGATGATGCTGATGATTATGATGGCGATGATGATGATGATGATGACGATGCTGATGATGATGAGGATGATGATGAGGATGTCGATGAGGATGATGATGAAGCTGCTGATGATGATGATGAGGCTGACGATGAGGACGAGGGCGATGATGATGATGATGAGGATGATGATGATGATGATGCTGATGCTGCTGATGATGCTGATGCTGATGATGACGATGATGCTGATGCTGATGCCGCTGCTGCTGATGATGATGAGGATGGTGATGGTGATGGTGATGGTGATGGTGATGGTGATGATGATGATGGTGATGATGATGATGGTGATGATGATGATGTTCATGATGATGATGATGACGATGGTGATGATGATAATGAGGATGATGATGATGGTGATGATGATGATGATGGTGATGATGATGATGATGATGATTATGATGATGAC